ATAAAACCAACTTTATTTCGACTTATATCAAGTGTTTGAATACTAATAGTATTCCATACAGCAACAGGAATTTGTTTTAATGTACATTCAGCCATAATTAATGTATGAAGATTTCGTAATTGATTAAATTCACGTGGTATACAAGTATAATCATCAATACCATTTTTAACACGTAATGGATTTCGTGATATATCAAGATATTCAAGATTAACTAATACACGAATATTTGCTGGTAAACTTGATATATTATTATTTGCTAAAACTAATCGACGAAGAGTAATAACTAGAATAGAAATTCGAATTTAAAGTAGTAAAAGCAAAATCTTCTATACATACGATCGAATATGTCTGTTGGTACAATTGAAAGACCACGAGATGTTAGATCTTGTCTTTCCGAATCATTTTGTTCTGCCATTTCTGTACTATCTGTATCACCCATATTAAATGCATTTTTCCTTCCTCTTAAACCACTTTTACGATTTGCTGATGGTGATTTTGATGTTGGAGTTTTGCCACTCGATCCATGTTTTTTATATTTATCTAATGTTGCTGATGTTGCATTTGTTGTTCGATTAATTTTCGAACTTGCCGAACGTTTTGAAGAACTTGTCTCTCGATTATTTCGTTTTGATGATTGTGAGGAAGTTTTTGCACGTCGTCTACCATCATCATTACTACTCATATTGGTTGATGTGCGATGTGATTGAGAAGGTGATCGACTTTTTATTCACTGCCGTTCGGTAGGAGACAAACTTGTTTGACGATTGTTACTAAACATGTTTGTTTGCGTTTGTATAGAGAAAAGAAAAACGAGAAAGCTGTTGTCGAAGCAATCATTCTTTTGTTCTTTTAACTATTTACCTATCAACACGTTATTCGAAGGCCACCTGATTTTTTTGTGTTTTTCTATACGATTACTGATGATCGATCTTTTCTTTCCTTTCTGTTTGATCAAAATTAAAAAAAATCAGATCACATAGAATAATAGGCATGCTAAGAAATTTCTTCTAAAAATTTAAAATCTTGTTCTAGATAATGCAGACTGTTAGTAATTGGGTACATATAAAAAGTCAAGGAGAAATAGCAATTTCTAATTTCTTTGAACAACAAAAAAAATTATTACGTGCTAATATATTGAAGAAATCTGATGAAATTGATGATTGGCATAATGGAATTATTCGATTAATTCAAGAACATGTAGCTAAACAAAAAGCTACGCTTCAACATGAATATGAACAACAAAAGGGTCGTTTAACTGCTAAATATCGAGATTTTATGGATACACTATTTGTTTATGAGGAAAATCACAATTCAAAACAAATTGAACAATTAATAAAGCAATGTTCTACTTTGAAATTTGAATTAAGTATGTTTGAATATCCTAATCGTAATATTCCATTTATTCAATTAACAACAACACAACAATCAACGGAAACAAAGAAAGTCGAACATAATATAAATCAGGCTAAGGATGATCTATCACAAATTACATCTAGAGACAATCGAAATATTGACACTATGCATCATACAGGTGTAAATAAAACTTCATTAGCAGCAGCAACATCTTCAGTTACTGAAAAAATCAAGTAAATATGTTCATCTATAAGTGTGTGATACAATATTTTTGTTTATTTTCTTTGTAGTCAATTATCAGTAATACCAAAATCAACGAATATACATAGTCAAATCATAAATAGTAACGATAATAAATATTTTGATGTCAATGATCGCAAAGATGATATTAATATGTGTCCAACATGTTATATGATTTTTCCGGCAAATATGACAACAAAAGAACGTTCTGGACATATCAATGAACATTTCAAAGAATCTTAATTAGACAAAATAAGATATTATGTAACTTTTCTCTATGCAATACTAAAACAATCTATATATTTTTGAAACAAAAGCTACTAATCAATTTTTTTTTCGATTATGAAAGTAACAATCATTGCTATGCTCGTTAACCTAACAAAACACCTAAACTAATATAGAATCCTCATCTAAACCAATAGTATCTTTTTTTTCTCATACAAAGAACAATATTTTGTGCTATGTATACATATTAATTATTATATAATTTATTATTTATATTTTAATATATCAATTTTGTATAAATATAATCTTTATATATGCATCGTTTTTTTTCCTATAGATTTTTTAATAACTATTGAGCTCGGAATCTCCTCAATGTCACAGTCATTAGTTAGGGATAAACTCAACTTTGATCGAAAAGGAATAATATCGAAGTATAAAAAGATCGAAAGGTAAAAATGTCTAAATAAAATTAGACAAACGTCGAATGTAAGAATGTCGGATTGAAAATAGTTGAAATATAACAATATCGAAGGATAGCAATGTCGAATGGGTAGAAAACTGAAGATTAAAAATCTTGAGGGTGTGGGTGAGGGTAGGAGTGTCGGGTTGGCATAGAAGCAAAGAAGATGACATCTACATCCACACATCCACTTAAGTATTTTTTTGATTTTTCCCTTAAGTTGTTTCGAACACCCAAAGTCTTATCATTTTCATATTTCGACTTTTTTTTTCTTCGATATTTTTACACTTCGACATTTTTACTTTCGGCCTTAGTTGGGAGATTGTTAATTAGGTATTAGTAGTTAAAGAAAATATCACAATGAGCGAAGTGAAAATAAGTTTTATCTTGACAAAAAAAAGTTATCATGAATAATATTCATTTGAAAAATTCTCGTAAACGTTTCGAAGAATATATTTTTTTCAGATTTATAATTATCGACTGATAATTTCTATGACATGCAGAAGAGAAACAACGAACATCAGAATCTTACAAGATAATAATATGTTAAAGTCGATAAAATATGGATCTTAATTTACATCTAGTATGCTATATTTAATCATGTATGTTTAATAAATGAAATCTTTTTCATGTTTGAACTGTTGAGTCTTTTTATGCATTCTTTTAGTTCTTCGCATTTCTTCTCGAAATATGCTATTAAAATAATATTCCAAGAATATCGTTTTCAAAAGCGAACATTCAAAAATTGACACGTTTGACTTTTAGTATTCTTCTATTTATCACTTGCTGAATAGTTTTGACAAACATTATTGACATAGCGCATGTTTAAATAATGATAAAAGATGACACGACGCACTGTTGAAGCTTTCCAGGAATCTATATGATTAATTTTATGCTTGCATTACTCGTTGTTTTTCTTGTTTTGTTTATTCTGTGAACGTATGAAGTAAATAAAAATGAAATATTGTACGAAAAAAACACTATTTCGTCAAACGACTCTTCTCAATATTTAAGTTTTAGATTATTGTTGATATTTATAACTTTTTCATGTCAGCAATTACATTCCTTGGTTTTACACTACTCAGAAGTGCTGCAGAAAGAGAACTTAACAATTTATTTGATAACTGTAAGACGATATTACATGATCAGAAATCCAAATTATCTGATGATATTACTAAATGGACAGATAAACTCATCCGTGACATTCAAAGACATGCAGATATACAAAGAAAGATTCTCGAACAAGCGTATGAGCATCGAATATCTCATTTGGATGATAATTGCGAGAATTTTATTCGTATAGTACGCGAATGTGAAGATAGCAGTGATACTGATTCCGTTCAGCGCCTACTTAATCTATGTCATTCTTTAAAATTCGAACTAGGCATATTAAAACATTCCGAACAATCCGTAGATTTTATCCACTTAGTGCCAGAAGAATCAGCGAATGTAAATCTAAAAGAATTGCAAATATTTGACCGTAAAAACCACAGATTGGAAAAAAATCCAATCAAAGAAAATAATTATAGAATAAATGATAGTAAGAGGAAAGATTTCAATTCAATTTCAAAGACAACATCCACAAAAACTGAACAGATACCGTAATTCTTTATATTAACATATTAATTTTTTTATATAAATATTAATTTTGTTTTTGTTTCTAGTGCAAAACCATCGACGATGAATACAAATAATAAACTCAATAAAACAAACGATAATATATCGGAGAAATGTCCATTATGCTATATGATATTTCCATTAATTATGACAATACATGATCGACATGAACACGTTCAGGATCATTACAGCGATGATTAACAAAAAACCACTTTAATCTAGACACTATTTTTTTATTTTTTTATATTGATAAATTTATTGGCTAATAAAGACAAATTCAGGTTGTTGTTTTATAAACAATTGAAATTCTATCTATTTCGGATGTTGCAATAGTTTGCTTAAATAATTCTATATACTATTCTTCATTTTATCATTGTTAAATATATGAATATAAAAAGAAATCAAGTGAACATTGATATTATTCAATATTTATTTAGACCTTCGTCTGAGGAAATATTTTCGATTGATTTATGCTGTATTACTAGACCTTCTCGTTTTTTTTTGAATTATTCTATAAAGGACAAAGAAATCATTTATCTTGCCTAGAAGAAGCGTAAAGGTCGAATAAAAATGATGCAAGCAAATCAAGATTTTCTGTCTCGATTTATTCTATTGAGATTTTATTTTCATACATTATGTAAAACAAGCAATTATTTTCCTACAATTCGATGTTTTATAAAAAAATAATTACATAAAATCACTCTTATTCTATCATTAATACGTAATCTTTATGATATACTTATTTCAATATGTATATGTATTAAAAATAAGAGCAAGAGAGAGAAGAGAAGAAAAAAAAAGAACTACTGTTTAATGGAGTAATCATTAACTGAATTCTTTCAACTGTTCGCTTGCCAATATATTCTTTAATTGACTCGACTTTTTTTTCAGGCTTCTTTTTTGAATGTATTCATGGTCGTTTCTTATTTCTTTTTCTTTTTTCGTATAGATCAAAATAAATAGAAGTGAGTCAAGGATACATTTACACTAGAACAAAATATTTACTACTCGAAAATATGCTTTTGGCATTTTTCTACTTATTTATCAGGACATACTTATCTGAATTGATTTCAGATATTAATATTAAATTATGTCAGAATTTTATCTATTCGGACGTCCATCGGAATTAAAACAATCAGAACAAGAAATTCGTCATGTATTCAGACATCTAGTTACAACATTATACAGTCAAAAATGGAAAATAGTCGACCAGATAACAGATTGGAGTGCGACACTTATTCGTCAGATTCAAGAACATGTGGATGATCAAAGAAAACTTCTCGATCAAATCTATGAACAAAAAGTATCTTATCTTGACACTGTACGAGATCAATTTCTCAAACAAGTTCTTGTATATGATGAAAAAAATGATATCCAACAAATTCATCAATTAATAAAACAATGTAATAATCTAAAATTTGAAGTAGCTATGCTAGTTTATGTTGAACGACCTATTGTTTCCATACAGCTCATGGCAGAAGAACTATCACCACAAGTATATCAACATGAATCTATTGAAGAGGAACAATCTCAAATAAAACTAATCGAAAATAATAATAACGATATAAATACTAATAATAATAATTCCGACGAACAGACAAGTTCATCACCAAAAATGATATTAGTAAATACAGAAGCAACAAAGTGAGTCTCGATAATGATATTGTATATGTTTATGTATAAATCAATTTTTTTCAGTCTACTGCCACCACCAGCAATACAATCCAATAATTATGACGATCAATCGATCGTTAACAGTCATGAATTAAAAACTAATATAACTCAACATAGTCTTCTAATGGAGAAATGTCCTATATGTTATATGATATTTCCAAAGATTATGTCTGTATCCGAACGAAATCTACATATTAATGAGCATTATAAAGACGATTAAAACAAAACTATTAATTCTTTCGAATTTAAGTCAAAAGTTTTTAGTTATATATATAAATATACGAGTTAATTTCTTTTTTTTTTGCGTTTCAATATGTTAAAAAAATAAAAGTTTTTTCAATGAAAATTTATATATATACATATAGTTAATTATATTATTACTATAATAATATACAATTCAAATGAGTTTATGTAACACGTGTATGTATATTGAAAAGAAGAGAAAAAAGTACAACTATTGATGTAAGCATATTCTGTTCTTTCAAGTATTTGCTTACGAACACATGATTTGAATGACTCGATTTTTTTTTCATTTGCTCATGTCCTTTTTTTTCCTCAAAGCTATGATTATATAGAATAAATAACATATTTCATCAAAAGAAAAAAGACGTATGTAATATTAGAACGTAACATTTTAGATATTTATTTGTTTTCTTTATCCTTCGAATGTCAAACTGCAAATTATTTCACACATCAAAACGAACTTGTCATTCCGAAATAGAAATTGGAAATTTATTTGAACGTCATAAGAAATCATTAATTGATCATAAACAGAACATGATAAATGAAATTAATGAATGGAGAGAAAATCTTATTTGTCAAATTCAAAAACATATTGATAAACAAAAATTTTTAGTCGAACAAGAATTTAAAATACAATCGAATTATCTTCAGATTAAACATCAAGAATTCCTTGATACAGCATTGATTTATGAAGAAAGAAAAAATAGAGAAGAAGTACGTCAATTACTTGAACAATGTCATGCTTTAAGATTTGAATTAAGTGCATTTGATTATTCTGAACAGTATATTCCATTTATTCAAATAAAGAAAGAACAACAATTAATTGAAATCAAACCTAATTCATTTAATACACATAATTATGAAAAACAATCGACAAGAGGGCATTCATAAAGGGCGCACAGGTAAAAACGGCATTTTTTGACCGCCATTCCTCTGTCCGCCACTGCCCATTTTCCGCTGATCCTCTTCCCCGTTTGACACTGCTGACTTTCCGCTGGTCCCCTTCCTCTGTCCAAAACTGTTCGTTTACCGCTGATCCATACTCCTTCTTCTCTACTTGGATGTCCTCTATGAATGGCTCCCAATAAATGATGGAATTAGAATAGAAAGTAATAAGGATGTATATGTATCGAGACCTTCTAAATCTGCAAATTCTAATCGAATAAAGTAAGTCAATTACCTTATGAATTAATTTTCAAGTTATCTTTGTAGTCAACAAATCGTGACGACTACGTCTTCTATGAATCATAGTCCTTGTGGGACTAGAAATGATACTCAAAATTTTCGTAATGATATGATCGAAAAATGTCCTGTTTGTTTTATGATTTTTTCATCAGCAATGAAAACGTACGAACGATCACAACATGTCAATCAACATTTTGGAGACAGTTGAAGAGCTAATACAAGGTCGTTTTAATTCAAATATTAAATTGTTTAAGTATATCGAATGTTGTGTTTTTTTTATTATGTAAACAAAAAAAATTTATTATTTATATATTTTAATTGTTATATTTTAACGTGAGATTATTTCAATAGTTTTAGCTGATCAAAAAATATATAATTTTTACGATATTTTTTTAAACAAAAACGATATTATATATAAATAGAGATGAGTAACTTGTTTTGCCACGTAAACACGAAATGAATTATATCAATATAAATTTTCTAATCACGTCTACTTTTAAAAAACCAGATCAATTCGAAAAATTACTCTTTGCACAATCGGTTTATTTTCGATGGTCAATTTTTTTCTGAAATATAAACCCGAAGTGTAGAGATAAAAAATTGATCTTTCGCAGATCACTATAAATACATCAATAGAGGCAAGACTGGAAGTTACAGGAAACTGAAAATATCATTCCAGATTCAGTTATCACTGATAAGTGAAGAAAAAGCAATCAGTACATGCAGTATAATTTGAGCTTATGTATCAAAGATGCTTTCCTATTTTAATTCAGTAAAGACTACACTACCAACTAATAGCTTTATGATCACATTCAAGCACTTTTTTTAAAATTAATATCAAACTAAACACTATACACTAATGAACAAATAAACGGTGGAGATCTTTATTCTGTGTAACGATTTTCTAAAAATGAATATTTAGCACACTCGATCTTACATTAATACAGAGACCTTGATAAATCAGTATTGCTACAAAAACGTCTGCGAAGTTTCGAATAAAAACAGAAAGAAAGAAAAAAAAGGAAGGTTTTTTTCATTCTCTTACTTTATTTTTATGTTGTTTAAAGATGACTCAATCTCTTTTCTATTTTATTTTGTATTTATTCCTGTTCTTTTTTTTTCTTCTTCACAACTATGACTTCATAAGACTATTAACACGTTTTCATGTATGATTGTTTTTCTTTCGCAAAATGTATCGTTTTTGAAAACTTTTAGATTGGACTTTAATTATTATGTACTGTTCATCGTATGGCTTCTCATCAGAATATAGGTATACGAATTCTACAAGTGAAATCTGTCGTTTGTTTGGGCAACATAAATCGTTGTTGTCTGACCTAAAATATAAGGCCAATCAAGAAATTGATGACTGGAGTAATGCTCTTATCAAACAAATAAGCGATCATGCTTGGAAGCAAAGACGTCTTGTTACAGAAGCGTATGAAAATCAAAAAAAATATCTAGAAAATATGTGTGAGAACTTCAGTGCTAGCATGATCTACTACCAAAAGAAAAATGACGCTCAAGAAATCGAGCGACTTCTGGATAAATGTAAAAAGTTAAATGTAAAATTAGCTGAATTGAACTTCGTGTCACATGACACTATGTTTATTGAAATTAAACCAATAGAATCATCGGAACACTTGAATCAAGACGAATCCACTCCACACAAAACCAAAGATAATCAATTTGACGAACAATTAACTGAGAAAAACAAATCTAAATCTCCACCTGATACACCATCTGACTTAACCGTATTTACAAATTCATCATCTTCAACTTTTAATCAAGTGAAGTAAGTTTATACCATATTACATATACCTATTGTATACTTTATTCTATAGTCAATCATCTACGAACCAGTCTCTGAACAATTCTGCTCGACCATCGAACAACAATGACCAAATGAATACAACAACTAGTAATATAGATGATAATTCCTTGTTGAAAAAATGTCCAATATGTTATATGATATTTCCGTTAAGCATGTCAGCAATGACTCGAAACGAACATATAGAACAGCATTGAAATAATAATTAACGGAAGAATACAGAACTAGTATTTCGATATTCATTTATTTAAATGTTCGTATTCTTTGATTAAACAATATCTATTTTGTAATTTTTTATTATATATTGATACATTAAAATGAAAGAATATTCTATGATTATTTTGTATAAATAAAAAACAAGAAATTCCAAGTATACAGTTCTGTAAAGTCTTTCTTACAATCATCTGAATCTGCTGTTTCTTTTTGAAATTAACTATTAATTCTCTTTACAATATTCGATCAAAGTTAAAGTAAATATAGACTCACATTTATTCGTTACGATTGTCGTCTCGAAGGAAAAGATGAAGAAAATAAGATCAGATAATTTTTTTTTGTTCTTTTAATTTACAGAAGTAATATAAATTTATTCATTCTATGGTTTTATATGTTAGTAAAGAGGAAAAAAATACGACAATCGTAGTCATTCTCTTTTCTCTGAATTCTTTACTTTGCAACATGTCATTTTAAAGATTTATTTTTTTGCCTTGAATGACGCTTGTTTTCTTTTCTATAAATTTTTAATTTATAGAATCGTTTAATATGTTAAAGAGTACAAAAGTTTTCTTTTTATCTTTGTGTATATATGCAATATTTTACTTAATTATTTTTTCAGTTGCTTTTATACGATGAAAATATTAGACGATATTCGTAAATTCTTTACCGACCAACAAAAAGATCTACAAAATCAAAAAAAGGAAATTTCTCGTACTATTGATCAGTGGCGGACAGACTGTGTTAGAGAGATTGAACAACATGCGACAGAAGAAAAGAAGCGACTTGATCAACTATATGAATATCAGAAAAATTGCTTTGAAAAACAACGTCGTAATTTCACGGAAGAAGCTACCAAACAAGACAAATCAAAAAACAAGGAACAACTATCTCAACTGTTGGAACGATGTCAAGAATTACAATTTAAACTAGCCAAACCCGAATACTATCAACACTCAACTGAGTTTATACATATCATCATGACCGAAGAACAACTATCACAGATGCATCAAGGAAAGTCATCCAGAAACAATTCATTAACAGATTATAATATAAACATTGTTAATGATGATGGCGTAAATGAAAGGTCATTGCAAAAGCCAACATTCGCAAATGCTAAGCAAGCAAGGTAAGTTTTCATATGAATATAGATGTAGATTGTATATTATTCATAGTCGAAGATCTTCAACAACTCAAACTTCACCCAAACATGAAGCTCATAACTCTCAGCCTAATACTACAACTAGAGATGATATGGAAGATAAATGTCCATTATGTTTTATGATATTTCCACAGAATATGACGAAACAAGATCGACAGCTACATGTTAATGAGCATTATACAGATGATTAATTGATAGGAAATTAGTCAAGTATTAATCTTGAGATTAATTTCTTTCAACAGCTCGTTCTTTAATGATACATACAATGACTTTTGCATTTGTATACACCGTATATTAAAAGAAAACGAGTTAAAATCATTTTTTTTTCATGTATCTCATTGCAATCATCGATAAATCCACAAGATTATATTTTGGAATAAACGATCATTTCGACAATCGCTAAATTCAACTCATCTCAAACTAATAGATATTCACCAATTGGAATACAACTGACAAAAAGAAATTTTCTTATGACTTTTTCTTTTTTTTCGCATGATTATGTCTGTTTAGATAGAAAAGTACTGAATATATATGACGATGAAATGCATCACTTTCTATTGTTTTTCAGTTTTTGATCTGGTACAACTAGAACTTCTATCACCTACCTGATATATTTATAGATAAAACATCAATACTATCTTTGTTTCCTCACTTAAAATGTCTGAAGAGTAGTGTGAAACATTTCAAACTACTCAAAATATTTCTTCTACACCTATACTACAAGAACACTTTAACTGTGTCTCGAGTAGATCTATCAGAGAAGCAAACGAATATTTAAATGGTATTAGAAAAGATTTCACGAAGATTTAAAAATAAGATTTAAGCGGTAGTTTCTATGTTATAAGACTTTGAACAACATTTGCTGATAATCTTGTTTTTCTTTTCATTTCATTCCACTGTAACATTAAGTTCAAATTCTATTCTTTATTTTCTCTACCTAGATTCTGAATATTGTATACAATTAAAAATAATATAACAAAATTTATTCAAGTACATTTTTAACATCTATTATTGGTTGATTTTTCAAAGATAAATATGTATCATTCGGAAAAGTATCAACGAATGATAAGTTGCCATCATTAAATTCTTTTCTGAGGTAACAGTAATTAACATATTATTAATAGTCTTTCTTTTTTATATAGAAAAACTTGTAATTTTATATAGACAATTAAAATTAATCTTTTCTATTTTTTTTATAAATAAAAAATTTCTAATATAAAACGACATCTCATGACAAGAACTTTCTAGAAAAAAAAGGCATAATAATCATCTATTCACTTTACTTTCATTCAACTAATCACATCATAAATTCTGACATCAATGGCAACTGACGATAAAACTACACTCAAAGGCGAAGATATTTCACCTGAAAAAGATGGAGGTTTGTTTTAAAAAATAAATAAATCAATTTTATTTATTTTTTTATATCACAGGTGTTCTCAAAGAAATAATTAAAGAAGGTCATGGTGATGAACAACCATCGGTAAATGATAAAGTTTCTGTACATTATGTTGGTACATTATTGGATGGAACTACATTTGATAGTAGTCGAGATCGTAATCAAAAATTTGAATTTAATCTTGGCAAAAGTGAAGTTATTAAAGCATGGGATATTGGTGTCGCAACAATGAAACGTGGAGAAGTATGTCGATTAACATGTAAACCAGAATATGCCTATGGTGAAGGTGGTTCTGGTGATAAAATCGGACCAAATGCAACATTAATTTTCGAAATTGAACTTTTTGATTTCTTTGGTAACATTTATTTTTAAATTTTTCAATACGAAAAAGAATTTTTTTTATTTTATAGGTGAAGATTTAAGTGAAGCTAAAGATCAAAGTGTTATCCGACGTACATTAACAAAAGGTGAAGGATGGGCTAAACCGAACGAAGGTTCTAGCGTTGAAGTTAAACTTAAGGGTACTCACGACAACAAAGTATTCGATGAACGAACAGTATCATTTACAGTTGGTGAAGGTTTCATTCATAACATTCCAGAAGGGTTTATATAATTTATTTCTCTTATTCTTTTTTTTTATGCATATTTCATTTTATTTTAGTGTTGAACATGCAATTACAAAAATGACAAAAAATGAACATGCTCAATTAAAATTAAAATCAAAAGCAACAACCGGTATTGAAAAATTTAACATTCCACAAAATACTCCCGTTCAATATGATGTTACATTACTTAATTTTGAAAAAGTTTGTACAAAACTATAAATAAAAATGAATTGAGACCTTTTTTTTATCATAATAGGCTAAAGAATCATGGTCAATGAATGATGTTGAAAAACTTGAACAATCAGAAGTTTTAAAAAAACGTGCAGGTGAATTATTTAAAGTACGTATAAATTAAAAAGTCAATCATTCATCTTTAGAACAAAATTCTAGGAGGGATCAGCTCCTATTTTCTAGCAGCATTCCCTTAGCTACCGTCTAAGAGAGTTAGTACACCCGTGAACAATTAGGATTTCAACTTGGACAGCTTTTTAATAAATTATTAATGTGTGGTATATATCTTAAGATAACATAACCGGATAGAAAAAGAAAATTGCGGAAATGAAGAATGTTAGTAATGGACTTGTTCATCTGAATTATTAGTTAATGCGATTATTATACTCAGTAGCGTAAGTAGGGGGGGGCGCATAACCCCCCTATACTATCGAAAACTAATAGGAAAAAAGGTATTTGCCCCCCCCCCCCCCCCTGTTCTGACACCTGACTTATGCCCTTGATTATACTCGATAAGGAAACGAGAATTTTTTCTTTCTTTCAACGTTAGCTATGTTTTTATAATATAGGATGGTCATTATCGAGCTGCTATTAAAAAATATACTACAATTGCTGGTTATCTTGAAGCTGCCAATTATGAAAATGAAGATGATAAAAAGAAAGGAGCTGATTTTAAATTAACTGCTCAATCAAATATTGCATTATGTCATTTAAAATTAAATGAATTTGCTGAATGTATTCATGCTTGTGAAAAAGCTTTAGAATTAGATTCAAAAAATGAGAAATGTTTATTTCGTCGTGGTCAATCACATTTATCAATGTCAAATTATGATGAAGCTATGAAAGATTTTCAAGAAGTACTTAAATTAAATCCATCAAATAGTGCAGCTAAACAATCAATTCAAACATGTCGTGAACAAGTAAAAGCTTATCAACAAAAAGAAAAAGCATTGTATGTTAATATATTTGCTAAAATGGCTAAAGCAAGTGAAAAAGCTGATGCTCAAACTAAAACTGATGAAGTTAAAACAGCTGAAGAAAATAATAACAATGAACAAACAACGGCTTCAACTTAATTCATGCATTTCATATTGAAACTAGAATAATTATCGAACTATTCTTAGTCAGTGTATTATCGTGATATTAAACGTTATAGTTTCTTTTCATTTTTTTTTATTTCTCGTTTTTTTGGTAAAAATAAGATGAAATAAAAACAAACAACTGTTATATGTCTAAAATACAAAAACAAATTGTGTATTTATATATATATATATATATCAAATTAGGCTGAAAGACCACTAAATACAGCAGCAAGAATTCGAATGACCATACCAATACCAAGGAATATATAATTTTTTTTTCCTTGAATTTCTCGAAATAAAAATAATGACCATAATGAAGATACAATACCAGGCAAAACACTAACAATGGGATAAGCAACTGCACTTGATAATGCACTTATAGCAACAATAAAACCAATATTTGCTATAGCCCACAGTGCACCACTAGCTAAGGCTGGTAAAATAACCGATGCATTAACAACTGGTTTATTACGTTTTAATGCTGCATAAACAACAAAATAGAATAAAGATGAAAGAAGTATACCTGCATATTGTGAACTAATATAAAAAAGACCATTCATAGGTGCTGGTTTTGTATCATATACATAATCATCTTTATGATCACGTATATATTGATCAGGAATAAACATTAATCCATAGAAAACTCCAGCTAAAGCAGCCAAAACACAGCCTAATACTTTCTGTAGTTTCTCATTTATTCGATTAAGAAATGGAAAATCAGTTTCAAGATTATCTGCATCGCTATTATCCTTATTTCTTCTGTCGCTCAATTCCATTGTTGACCGACCGTCATAATTAGCATCATACGAAGCTTTTCTTTTTGTTGGTGTTGTTGTTGATTTAATAAAAAGAAAGAATATTGCACTAATTGCAGCTAATACGACTGATATATAATTTAATGCTTTATCTGTTGTTGATACTGGTACTTGTGCTGTAACACCAAATAATCCAAAACGACCCCCTGCCCAACCCATAATTAAACTTGTTGTTCCCCAAATCAATAAACCAACAGAAAGACCACAAGTTTTTATACAAAAAACTGTTACAAGATTTCCTGTTGTCCATAACACACCTAAATATATATATGTATATATGAAAAAAAATATTTCAAGAAAAATTTAGTAATACCTCCAACTAGTACAAGTGGATAGAAACGTTGATTTCCTATAATAAGATCAAGTATAAGACCAACAAGCCAAACAGCAACACAAAAAACAAATTGAAAGAAAAATCCATCACCAACAGAAAATTGTTTTACTGGTAACAGATACGAACCAAAAACGCTTGATGCTACAATACATCCAATAAAACCAGCCCATTTCGGCATTGGTTCCTCTTTAGTTGCATTAGAAGCAGTTGAATTATTCTCGATAGTGACTTCATCAGACGCGACACTTGTTGTTGATGATAATAGAATAAATAATAAGATGAATGGTATAGCAATTTGTAAACGCATTATTTTCATATAAAAAACTGAACTTAGTGACATATCGTATTTCGAAAGGATATATTATTCATAAATAGAAAGACGAAAAATAAAGATACTGGCAATATGTAAACTCTTATCAATGCACTATAACGCAAATTATTATTTAAAGTAAATAGAAAAAAAGAATCTTCTACAATAAAAAGTATCATTGTTATCAAGAATCCGCTAAAAAGTTATAGTTTTACGCAACTTTCAAATAAATTGTTTTATGTAATCCATTCTTCTACTATGAAATTACAGATAACTTTTCAATTAATATTTTATTTGTATTATGTAACAACATAAAAGTACAGAGGTATAGTTTACTAGACCTCGAAGGACATATACACCTGCGTTCTTTTATTTTAAATTTTATCATCAGTATGTAAAAGGTGTCTACTCTTTACTCTTATAAAGATAACTTTTGGTTATACTGTGTACTTAATCAATTTGAATCGTTGTATTTTACTTTTTTTAATATTTCAAATTAAATAATCAAAATCTATTACATCTACAAAGGATATAAATTTTGAATTCTGTCTTCAGAAATTAGATGATTTAGGACTCGGTGAGAGTTTTTCTACTTTTATTTCTATGATTTACTTTCTAATGAATCTTTGACATCACATTTAATATTTGATTTGACGTGAATCTATTCTATAGTATAATCTAATTTCTAATATACAATCGAACGGATTGCAAGACTCCATCAGCTTCGTTAGTATTGAAATTATGTTTAAAGACAATCATATATACTTTTGTTCAGTTTCGTTGATTTTGATGTTTATATTTTAAACTTTATCATATTAGAAGACTTTCATCTAGTCTTTTATGCTTATTACTAATGATTAATTCAAGCAAATCAATATATTATTATCATTTTCGAATTTTTTCTTGATCATAAATAATTTTCTTATTTAAAATGAACACTCTTTTCTTTAACTACATTAAAAAACATATCACCAATAGTTCTCCTGATGTTCAAATAATCCATTATTGATATTTATAAACCACCAAATGCCACACTATGTTCATGAGCTTTGAGACGTAATGCTGCAAGAGAAGTATTTCGATGATCTGAATGAATATTATATCCAATATATGAAGAAGAATTGAAATTATTTGTTGAAGATGTATGTGATAATGACGGAAATACATAGGGCATATTCATAAAATTTGGTAAAGCATTGGACATCAATACAGAAGTAGATGATGTATCTGCTGATGAATAATGATCTCGAAGAGGAAAATGATTCAGTGAAGTTGCTGATGATGGACACCAGCTATTACCGGTTGTCAACTAGAATTATAATTAATTAATAAAAGAAAAAAAACATATATTTAAATTATTAATCTTAATACGGAAGGATATTGATTATTAGTTGCGGATAAGAATGAAATATCATAGGGATTTGGTGTTGGTAGAGTTAATGCACGCATTTGTGGTAGATTAGCATATCGTTCACGTTTACGCCATTTAGCACGTCGATTTTGAAACCAAACCTACTCAATCAAAATGATTGAAGATTATTTAATTATTAGAAAAATCAATATTCATACCTGTACTCTTGCTTCTGTTAAATCACAACGTAGAGCAAGTTGTTCTCGAATATAAACATCTGGATAATGAGTTTTTTGAAAAATACGTTCCATTTCTTCAAGTTGATATGATGTAAATGTTGTACGATTTCGTCTTTTTTTCCGTTTTCTATCATCATCATCATCATCTGCTATTGAACTACTACCATGTCGAATCAATAAGTTTTTATTTGAATCTATATTAAATCAAATTAGATTAATTTTATCAATTACTAATAAAAATTATATTATAGATATATATTGAATTGATATAAAAATCATAAAATAATAAATTAATCAATCTAATCATTCAAGAATAAATACCTGAATGTTGATGCATCATAGTTATGTGTTAATTCGATATATTTGAACTCGTTCTTTTTTTTTCTCTAACCAAATTTTCGACCAACAATATAATATATACACACGGCTATAATTTTATTAATCAGTTATCTAGCAATCCGAATAAAAGCTACCGTAAAAACCAAAGAGAGAGAGAGAGAGAGAGAGGGAGAGAGAATAAGTAGAAGTGTATTTATGCTGTTGTCGATAAAGAAAAAGATTAATGATAGTACTCTCTTTCTTTTTTCTCCTTCAGACATAAAATATATATCAATTTGCTGATTGGTCTATATGTACAAAAAAGATATTTTATATTCTGTGAACAGAAACATATTCGATTTTTTTTTCTTATAAGTATAATTTACACTAAATCTCCATCATTTTTACTAATAGGAAAGACTAATTATGATGTCAACAGCTCGTCCGTTATTCGAAAAAAAAACTAGGGCGTCTATCTTGATGATTTGTCTTCATCGATCAACACGAAATTTTCTTTTTTGTTCTCTTTAAGCGGTAAAGATCAGTTAAAAACTATGTATCTAATAAGATAATATATTTTATTTAATAACGAACTATTACAATATAATTAAAGGAAAAAGTTATTTTATCTTGTACTCTCTTGAGATGAAATCATTGTTGTTGTGATTGAACCTGATTGTACTAATGTACTTTCATCATCCATTCGACTTGGAGCTTGAGATGACGACGATGATGAACCTTGAGTTAGATCATCCGATGGATTATGTATAAATGTACTAAGCTTTCGATTTTTTGACCACTAAAAACAAACAAATATAATGAAAATATCACTTAGAAAAGGTTTTTTTCTTTTTCTTCCTAAGACAAATAACATGTGTATATATATGAGAGTTTATTAAATTATAGAGAAAAAGACTCATTTGTATATACAAAAATTCTTAGGAAAATAAACTTATCTAATGAAAAGAGAAAAAGAACATGTCTATGTTAATTATCATTTAAGTAAAGTTCACATCATTTACAATAAATATATTTTATTTTAACGATGACAGCTCGGATATTAATAAAAGTATCAAACTATGACAATCTATTTTTATGATTCAATAATGGATAATTTAGGAATTACTAAGATGAATATTCTATCTATGAGATTTGACATTTTAAACATACCACTGCAATTAAATTGCGTCGTCCATCAACAGTCAATTTTGCTGGTATATCTTTTAATGAATAAGTTAAAATAATATTTGTATTATTTCCTATGAAATCAACTGTTTGAGAATCTATAGATGATTTAAAATTAATAATCATTAAGCTTGATTGATGATTTTTATTAAATAATGGTATTTCATTATTATTTCCATTATTTAAATCGGCTGTATTACTACATACAATAGCTAATTTATCATCATCATAAAATTTAAAATTAACTATGGAACTAAATACATAAATAAATGATTAATTTCTCAAAAAAAACAATGTTTTAATAAATACCGATGAGGACCAAAAATTTGTTGAAGATCAATCAATCGAACGATGCATTGTTTACTTCTATATAAATGTAAAATAAAAGAAAATAGTTTTATTTTAAATAATCGTACGTTGATGTATAATTAATTAAATGAAATTGTAGAGAATTTTGTTGGACGATGTAGCTAATTGCATGTTGACTTCGACGATGATCAAATTCAATTGTTGAAGAAGATTGTTGATCAATTGGTCTAAATCAATCGAAATTAGTTTTAGAATATTAAAAAAAATATATTTGATTTTACATTGAAGCAAGTAATGGTAATGATTTATTTGTTTGAATATTTGAATTTTGTGTTCGGACTTCAAATGCTTTAGTAATAGATTGTTTTAGATCTTGATAAGCACCTAATAAAGATCGTCGTGGTTTAGGTGAAAACACAGTATGTTTATTGTTATTAGTATTAGTGTCTATTTTGGAGAATGAAATAAATGATATGATAAAATTAGTAGGAAAGATTTATACTTGAATGATCAAATAGTTTTCGATAAGCAGAATTACGTGTAAGACTTTCAGGCAAATTTTCAGATTTTAAATACTAAAAATAAATAATTAATACAGTCGAAAGCAAAAGAAATATTTACCATGGAAAATATATCAAGTACAGGTTCATCAAATGAACAATAAGAATCAATAAATTCAATTAAATGATCCCAATCAGCTTCTGTACACTAGAGTTGTAAAAATAATTTTAATTAATAATAAATAAAAATAATTGGTTTACTTCAATTTGTTCATCATGATGTGTACTTGTATTATGTTTAGATGTATGTAATTGATGAGCAACTAATATTAAGAAATAAATAATTAGAAAAAGGGTTTTAAAAAATCTGATATATACCGAAACCAAGCCAACGTAAGAAGAAAGTATAAACATCTGACATTTCATGAATGAAACTAAAATAGAAATATTAATTTATATTTTAATAGAGTGAAAATACTTACTCGGTATATTCATTGATCTTTAGAAGAAGACTACCAGCATTAGACAAACATGCTAAAAAAAGAAAGTCGAAAAATATTTCGAAAGTGGTATTCGGATTCGATTCTGAAACTATCTTGAGAGTGCGGGGTGGATGAGGGTATAACAAAAACAATGTTCACACCATTATCCGCTAACTGAAAACAAAAACAATTCGAGATATAAATGTTTAATTTTCAACGTTGCCCTTTCTATCGAGTCATATTCTCGTGTTTACTAAACCATACTGAATTTTTGCAAAAAGAAGCGTTTCAATTTCAGAAATATTTTGTAGGATTCAGTTTTCTACGTAAAACATAGATGTCCTTAAATATCTGGAAATTTATAAAAATATATTTCGCAAAAGTTTTATAGTTAACCCTTTGAGGCTCATGATCCAATCTATGAATGAAACATCTTATAAACTTGATATTTCGTATGAGCATTGAGTATTATGGACACTTTCAAATTTTAGCCGTACCCCCTCACGGAAATGGTGAGAAATATTTTAGGCACTTCCTCGGAGAGATACGAACGGGAGTCAAAAACTGAATTAGTAGGGTTTTTAATCTTACATAAATATGTGCGTCAAAATCTCCTCTATGTCGTAGTGAAAGCCTCACTGGTATTTATAGGGTTAAACGGTTAATAACTATACTTATTTTATCTTTCATATTTAAAACACTTAGAGTCTGTGCTTAGATGTTTCTGTCAAAAATCTCTTCGGTATTTATATATTCTCAAAAATGACTTTGCTTACAAATAAGATATACACATTATAATTAACTAATCATTTCTATTGAAACGAATGTACAAAAAGGATAATCTTCCAATTCAAAATTTCATAAATATATTTTCTTACATTGAAGAATATTTGTATCAAATTCAATTTGATCAAATTTTCCATACCATTGTTGTAAACCTTTAATTTCTACAAGATATCCAAATATATGTTCAATTGTTCTTTGAAAGCAAAAAATAAAGAACTTCATAGAATATAATAAATTTTTATTTCTTTTTTTGTATTACCTTCCAAACATAACAATTAATTCTTTTGATTTAATTCTTGTTTCATCAAACGATGTAACTAATTTTTTAGCATAACCATAATCAAAAATATTACCAAAAAAATTTTGTTGCATATGTTCCGAACAATTTCCTGTTGCTAATAATGACATTAATTCACATTGAAATGTCCATTGTTTTATTTCTTGTTGTTGAATAGTTTCACAAAATGTATTAACACGTGATTGAAAATCCGAAAAACATTTTGTTGTTAATTCAGTTAATGTTGTTAAAATTTTATCATTAAATAAAATTAAACTTTTTATACGACAAAGTGAACGTGTTAAATGAAAATAATCATGATGATAATCAGATAAAAATGATGTACATTCAAATAATGAATAATTAACTGATAGATCACATTTTGTTAACAGACATAAAGTATCAAGTGATGATGACATTGTAACAGATAAAAGACTTTGATCAGTAGGTAATGATGTACGATTAATAAGAAGTAATGGCCAAAGACCAAATGCTCGAAGAAGAATATCATTTGTACCGAATAAAATTAAACTGAAGGAAAAAAATATATAATAAATTTTTGTTTTTCGTAAATTCTTTTACATATTTAGTTTTGTTTGTTTATCAAGTGAAAAAAGATCATCAGGTGGATCAATGACATGTTTTCTTGCTCGATTAATAGATGGTAAATCTACGAGAACAGGTAGATAATCATCAATAGGTATTGATTCAAATTCATTATGATTATTTTCATCTTGCTGTCGTTCAATCCAATTACAAGAACGAATTTCAAATGGTAATGTTTCAGTTAATAATGAATGACCATCTTGAACTGATGCTAATACAAGTGAACGATTGGAAAATGTTACAGCAAGAACTAAAATATAAATATTTATTGAATAAAAGAACTATTTGTTTTATACCTTGTCCATCAGGTCGCCATGCTAGACTAACAGGTTTTTTACGTTGATTTCGAGTACCTAATGCCCAAACTTTACGAATATATGCTTGATAAGCAATAACCTAATGAAAAAAAAACGAGAATTTAAAAAATAAAAATAAAATTGAAAATATACATCGCCATTTGCTGAACACACAACAATAATATCATGTTCTGGATTGAATGAAAATAGAAGAATTTCACTATGAAAATTTTTTTCTTCAGCAAGACGAAGATTAAGTGTATCCATATTTAACGTTTTTTTGAAATATAAAACTATATGAAAATCTGCTTTCTCTTGACAGATTTTCCCGACTGGATAAATCTAAAACAAAAGAAATATTCAAACAGATGTCGCAAGAAAACAATCAAGTAAATTTTTTTCTTTTTTAATTATTTATCGATTAAAAATACCTTATTTAGAACATATACACATCAGTTATATTTTTCTTTATCAATCAAAATAACGAAAACCGTATATAATTTTAATTATAATATTTTGAAAAGAACCAGTGGCGGATTTTGGAAGGGGGGGGGAGGCGATCTTTCAGTAGGAAGGGGCGATACCTGGGGAGGGGAGAATTTTGGCTAAAGATATTTTTTAAGTTCAATCGAAGTAGTGTGAACCTATTTTTGCTGAAAAAATCGAAAAAAATTTCTGAAGGGAGGAGCGATCGTCCCCATCGCCCCTCTAAATCCACCACTGAAAAGAACAAAACTATTATTTTTCTCATTTATTGATGATAAATATGGTTTAGTAACGATTGAGATGACTATCAAACATAAGTTGTGTTTTCGAGAAACAACCGTGTGCTAAATCTGAAAGAGTGAACGGTATACTTTACAACGCTTTTAATATAGATATACCGTAGCAATCAATCAGAATTTAAATAAGTAACCGCAGAACAATTGAGTTTTACCTATGCGGTTGATCTTTTTGTTGCGACTTGCTATAATAATAACAATCGCTGTCGATGTCTTCGTGATTAAAACAACAAGTAAATTATCACTCAGACTATCTTATAATTAAGATGTAAAACTTCAAGAAAAATAAATCATATCTCTATAAATGCAAGTAGATTTTCTTCTGTCATTAAAATCAAATCAAAAGCTTCGAATCAATTGAAATTGTATTTTTATTAGCTAAATTAATTCAATAAATATATTTGGGTATATATTCAGTTGTTTTGATTTTCATATATTCACTTTTAACAATTTTATCCAGGGTGTAATCTTCTTATTGGTTGTTCGCTAAAAATAAACTTTTCTTTCGGAATATGTTCTACATAATTTCGAATTTTCATTTTAATTCATAGAAAAGAGAGACAGAGATAGACAGAAACAAAGGTTATTATATAACTATAGTTTAACTATCTTCGTATAACAAAAGAAAGAGAATAAATAATCGGGAAAGAAAGAGAGAGAGAGAGAGAGAAAAGATACGTCCTTACTGAAATTTATTCGTAGTTAACATGTTTTTATTTCATTGTATATTTTAGAAAGAAATAGTGCGTGTGTGTGTGAGTGCATTTGTAATCACAGTATTTTTCCTATTTCATACTATATATATCCGTTTACATAAAATTTAATATGGAAACAGTTCTTGGTCGCGGTTATTCAATCAATGATGAAACTGGTTTAACAGATTTCTATTCACCACCATCAAGTATTGTTGATGAAGATGAAGAACAAGATGATGATGAGGAGGATGATGATTTATTCTATCCAGAAGAAATCGAACCTTTATTTACTGCTGAAACAATTAATAATACGACTCTTTCTTCTTCATCTATTGACGAAATAAATGATATGAATTTAAGTAAAGTGAAATAAATATTTTTTTTTTATAAATTAAGTTTTTTTGTTTTTGAATTTATAGAAAATGGATTAAAATCATTACCATTAAAATTAATGTCTATTGAGGCAACACCACCGCCAACACCGCTTATTCCACGACGTTTACTCGATCCTATAAATACGACAACAACGGCTTTTCAAAATATGACATTTAATACAACATTACCAATAACACCAACAAGAAGTACTGATATAACAACATCAAATTGGTCATTAAATACATCATCAACGAGTTCATTATTTCCATGTAATACGGATACTCTATCGAAAACAACAAATTTATTGACACCAACAAGTATGGATCGATATCTTGCTGAACATCGACCTCTTACTGATTCAGTATATAAATCATCAATAAGTAAATATTTAGGATTTATTTATTTATTTATTATTCATCTTCTATTTAAAGCACTTGGTACAACAACAAATAGACATCATTCGATTTCTGTTCAACATACTGAAGTAACGAATGGTTTGTAGACAAATAATCACTTGAAATTATAAAATTAATTGAATCGGTTCTTTTGTTTTTCTAGAAACAAGTCGATTATATTCTTATATGGCTCCTGCTGATGGTTTATCATCAAATCTTCGAGCAGGATCTAATACATGGTCACCATTTGATGATAAACTTCCAATTTCATCTCCAACACATATTAATAATAATCCATATACACCCCAATTTAATATGAAATCTCCATCTTGTTTAAACAATCCCTTATCTCCTCAACGAGTTAATCCATTTTCTCCAAATTCTAATAGTTCATTTAATCATTCGACAGCACTTCAATATCAATCACAAGATCCATGGTTTTTATCTGAAATGTCAACAATATTACGTCAAAATACCAATATATCATTAAGTGCAACAGCACAACAAATACTTGCTGCAAATACAGCAAATAATAATCGTCCATTACGTTCAGAAAAAATCGATATTGAAGTTATCAAACATCTTATTCGAGAAGCTAGTTGGAAACGACAATGTGGAATGAAAAAAGAAGTATGAAGAATTTTCTTTTTCCTTCAAAAAAACATAAAATTTTTTAAGGTTTGTGTTTTTTGTCGTAATAATGGTGAAAATGAATTAATTTATTCAAGTCATTCATTAAAAGATTCGATGGGAAATGTTACATGTCCAATTTTACGTGCTTATCAATGTCCAATTTGTGGAGCAACTGGTGCACAAGGTAAATTTTATTTTTTTCTATAAATATCATAGATTTATTTATTTTTTCTTCTTCTTAAGCTCATACAATTAAATATTGTCAAGCAACTGGTGGTGATGATATCAATCGACATGTACCTACGCCATACGAGAAAATGCTTCGTATGCAAACATTTGGCTTTGATGATAATATAACACCATCCATGCCAACATTTTTTGGTCAATTAGATAGTCCTTCATCCCTTTATACAAATGGTTGGTCTAATAGTTATTTATAAACAAATACTTCCTCTTTTTTTGTAATAGTTTGCAACAAATAGTAACAAAAAAACAAAAGATCAGTGAATTTTTTTTTATAGTTTAACTGATTTAATATCTAGTTAGTATTCTTTTTTTTTTGTACGCACATGAAATTTAACTATCAATCATGTGAAGTAATAACTGGATTTGTTTGTTAGTATTACGAATTGAAAAGACGTTCTTCTCTTTCACTTCTTTTTCTTTTTTTTTGATATTGACGAACCCGGTTTTTTTAAGTATTAAAAAATAAAAATCTAGTAGAAAATAAAAGTGAAACAAACAATAGTAAAAATAAAAACTAATTTCCGATTCATACAATATCTTTTAATAACTCAAGCGATACTAATTATTAAATTAGTCAACATATTTATTCACTATTGGAACTCTTGTATTAACAAACCAGATCAAGCAATCACCATCATAGAGTATTGCATTTATCAAATGCAAACTATTTTTTTAGACGACTTGATTTATTGTTAAAACTTTAGACAACTAATAGATGCTTGTTGACGATTATTTTAAATTGTATTAAGTGTACGTGAATGATCTCGATGTTATACAAAGCTACTTTCGTCAGACCTATATTGAGCGCAGTGTCCTACATAATTCTATAAGATACTATCACATTGATATAAATTATTATGATGGGTCATAAGGGAATACAGTAAATCTATGGATAGTAATACGTCGTTTTTAACGATTGTAATTAGGGATGCAACGGTTACGGTTTTTCACCGCTTGACCGTCTACAGTTAACTGTTCTAAAACAATAACCGGTCCAATACAGAGACCGATTAAACGAAAACCATGATAATAGAAAGGCCGATTAAACGAAAACCGTCTTAATAAAAAGACCAATTGAACGAAAACCGGCCTGGGAGAAAAACCGACCAAAACGAAAACCGGTACAGGTCGGCAACTGTTTTTATTTTTTGATAATTTTGTTAGTTCATATAATTATGAAGTGATGCTGACGTGTTGGTTAGTAATTAGAGAAGCTAGTAATATCATTTGCTTTATTGTTAATAAGAATAAAGAATATCACCATATAGGCATCAATTTTCATGTTCTTATATCGTATTACTGTTATGCATCTATGAGTAATCGATTCTATGAGGATGTGGGTGTGGGGGTGGGGGTGGGTGTGGACGATCTGTTTTATTCGTATTAACTCTCGTTCGAAATTTTATTTTTTCGAGATTTCGAAGTTTTAAATTTCGGATTTTTTTTTCGATCTTTTTCCAGCAATTCTAAAGAAGCATTTGAATTCTTGTTTATTGAATTGAAGAGTAAATGAAGCTGTGTCAATTGTTCGACTGACATTGTCAAAGTAACAATTACTTACACAAACGAAGATATATAACACTTCTCTTCGAATGTCTCAAAACTATCAGTTTTCACTTTTTTTAATTTCAATGCTGAGTAAAATTGTGATGTGAAACACAGCACGAGTTTTCCTGATAGCGAATATACAATAGATTTTCAATTGAATATTCCAATCTTTTTGACCGGTAATTTTTTGCGTTATGATACGGACTGCTGTGAGCGAGGATAAGGAATAAACATATGAAATTCACACCATTTTGTACATTTGTTGAATTATTTTTAATACTGGATCAAGAAAAACTGTATCAGCTTTTGTCTCGTTTTAATTTAGTTTTTGGTATTTTCAATTGTTACTTATATAAGAACTTGGAAAAAGACATTTAAAATAAATATTACTATATAGTATTTTTTATTTAAACGATACTTTCATATGAGTCATTTTGTTTGCCTAATTATAAAAATAACATCGTTAATTTTACATTTTCTTTCCATGTTTCTGGTTGATTTGTTTTTGAGTAAGAAAAATAATGTATATTTACTAGTCACGCGTTTCATTTACATGTGATTGACGATGAACAAGAAAAACTACATTATCTTGTTTATTGATTATTGTTTGCAGTCTTACATGCAACGGCAAACAGATACTATTTACTATTCTGAATTTTAGACTTACTTTTGCCTTATGGGTAAAGGAAATTTCGATGAAAATGGTTCAATACGACTTTCACTTCGTTGGTATTATTCTATAGTAGTATGTTCACAGATTATTGGAGTTATTGCAGTTATTTTAATTGGTGTTTTTCTTGGGAAATATCGTGGTGGTTTTGGTTGGGGTGTAAGTACTTTTATACACTATTTATTATTCAAAGTAGAAGAAATAATTGAAATCAATATTATTTTTCTCTTAGTCTGATTTGGAAAAGGTATTTAATTATCATCCATTATTTATGACACTTGGTATGGTATTTTTCTATGGTGATGGTAAGTTTAAGTAATGATAATTTCTATTTAGTTATATATATATTGCATTGATTTTGAAAGCTATTTTGGTTTATCGTGTATTTCGTGATGTACAAAAAATTTATATTAAAATTCTTCATGCAAGTTTATTGTTAATTTCACTTATCCTAACATCAATTGGTCTTAAAGCTGTTTTTGATAGTCATAATCGAGCTAGTCCACCGCAAGAAAATCTTAATTCACTTCATTCATGGATTGGCCTTACAACTGTAGTTTTATTTGGTTTACAATGGATCTGTGGTTTTGTTGCTTTTCTTTTCCCAAAATTAAGTGAAAATATTCGTAAAGCATATATGCCAAGGTAAGAACGATGAGCACAATCATTTTTTTTCAAATATCTTATAATAATTCTATTTAGTCATAAGTTTTGGGGAAAATTTATATTTATTTTTGATGTAAGTGCAGTTCTTATGGGTATTACAGAATATGGTATTTTGTAAGTGATAAAATTTTTGAAATTATAATTATTTATCGGTATTTTAGTAATGAATTATTCGATGATAAAAAATTAAGACATCAACGAAATATGATCAATATTTTTGGGTTTTTTGTTGTCACTTTTGCTGTTATTATTATTTATCTTGTTGATAATGATGATTTTCAAAGACCTCCAGATAATGAGTCGGAACATGCACCTTTGATCGAATAATAAAAACTATTCAAATTAATATAATGAGATACGATTACTTGTTTTTAAACAGTATATTTCATGTCAAAAAGTTATTATATTAAATTAAATATATCACTCATTTCTGTAGTTTATTTGATACTTTCTGAAATTCAGATATAACAGTTAAGGTCAGATGTGGTGTATGTACAACCAGTGATACAAAAAAATGAATAGGTCAAGTAATCCGGAAAAAAAATAAATTCTTGAGGGTGTGGAAGAAGAGTGGCCCATACCTTCATACTTGTATTACTTCTGATCAAACATTCTCTCTGGTGAGATATTAGATACTATTTATTGATACTTATCTTGTCTTTCTTTCGTATACACATCAATCAATTGATTAGCAGAACTAATGAGTTGATTCTTTTACTTTTTTAGAATACAAGAAAAGAAAAGAAAGAAAAGCTATACTGATAAAATTCTATTCTACTTCGATGTAACACATATGTATATTGAGTTCTATATAGAAGTAATTGTATTTTGACATATAATCGTTTTAGTAATCTTACAAATCCCAATTCTCATAAGAGATTTTCCTTCTATAATCATGTTTATTTAACATTTTCGGATATGAAGATAATTCTTTCTTACAACCATTTATACTTATGAATACTAAACCGACGAAACTAATTTACTTTGTTCTTTTTATATATCAATATTGATAATATATATCAATCTCAATGGGATTTATCAATTAACAATGCTTTGTATCATTGATATATTTTATCATGGGAATTATATAGGAAATAGTTAATTATCTTTGGTCAATTTTCATTGTTTCTATTCAAGCGACTGTATATATTACTGATATACATATAATTCGTTTCTGCAAACAATATTAACTAATAATAATTCTTTCAACGAACATTCACCTGTTTTTTTGTCGAAATTTTGACATTATGATTGATTAGTTTTCTATTCTTATACATGTCATCGATACATACGAATCCATTCTTTTAATTAGTTTGTTTTATTTAAATCATCATCACAATTCTATTTCTTTTTCCTTTAGAGTTATTACATTACGTTTAAGAAGAAAAGATTGAAATATGTTCTTACACATTTTGACTTGATGATTCATTTTCAATCTGTACTATTATCAGTCTAGTTGTACATCATCAGAAATAGAGAGAAGAAGAAAAAAGAAGACGAGGAGAAACGATTCTTAATTGCTATTCGATCCTTTCATCAAGCACAACTTCGATCAACCAACCAGATAAAAATAAACGATAGTAAGACGAAGAAGAAAAAATAAAAGTAAATGTACATCACATCATTATGAAATCCAATAATAGACTTTTATTTTACATATAGCATACAATTATTCATTATCGTTTAAGAATCATAATGATGACAGATTTTCGTAATTGTCAACAACAGTATTTTGATAATTCATCAGCAACAACATCAGTACCTGTTTCTGTTTCATCGTATGGTTCATATTTTCAACCAAATATTCATAATAGTACATCAATTCAATTAGATGAACAATATACTCAATTTCCATCTACTTATACATCACAATTTTATTCTCAATTACCCTATGAATATGATTCGTCTTCATTTTTACCACATTATTCAACACTACAACCAGTTAATTCATCTTATACATCATCTGATCTTAGTCCAGATAAATCACTTAATCATATATATACATCATTACCATTACAAACAACACATTCATTAATTTCTCCTACTGAATCACGATCACCATCTAGTCATTCATGTGATGAACAATCAAATTTAAATAAAACAGATACTATTCATACACGATCTTATCCTAGTAGTGGTTCATGTGATGGTACACATCGTTGTTTATTATGGGCATGTAAAACATGTAAACGTAAAACAGTAACTGTTGATCGACGAAAAGCAGCAACAGTACGTGAACGACGACGTTTAAGAAAAGTTAATGAAGCATTTGAAACATTAAAAAAACGTACATGTTCAAATCCAACTCAACGATTACCAAAAGTTGAAATCTTACGTAATGCTATGGAATATATTGATAATTTAGAAGAATTAGTACGATCTGCTGGAATTAGTTCAAAATTATTTCGACATGGTCTAGATGATCAAAAACCAAATACTAATGAAGTAAAAAAGATTTTCTTTTCTATCAAAATAATCATTGTATATATATTCTTATATAGTTATTACTAGCAAGATCATCAACAATAAATTATAATGAAACATATCATAATACACCAACAGATTACAATAGTAATTCAACAATATCGTCTATGTACGGAACAGCTGATAGTAAGTAAAGATGAATTCTTTATTTTTTCTCGCTTTATCAAAATATGCTAAATAGTATGAATATATATATTTATTTGATGTTTTAATAACATATGCTATGTATATATCATTCTCATCGAATTAAGATGAAGATACTATCATTATCATTCTGCTTATTCAACTATATATAAATGGTTGTTATGATTATCTTGTTTAATCAATTCTGTATTCTATCTTTTATATTTAGATTATACTGAAACGATATTAGCACATCGTACAATATCAAATGTATCAAGTCTTGATTGTTTATCAATGATTGTGGAAAGTATTGATCCAACTAAACTTATGAATTCATCGAATAGTACTATTTCAAATCAATGTTGTTAAATGATGAAAATCTTTTTTTATATCTTGTCCTTTTCGTACTAATCGACAAATAAATGCATTATTATAAAGATTTTTCTATAAAAAAATAAAAACAATGCATATTTGAATCTTACAAGCATTCATTCTTTGCATAAGTGGTAAAACATATTCTTCTATCAAACTAATTTTAAACTTAAAAATGAATTTTTTTTATTTATTTTACCTCGAAATAATTTTGCTTATATATGTTAATTGATTCGAAATATTTACATGAATATAATTCAAGATTTTGCATTCAATGTAAAAGAGGAAAGAATGATATTTTATTATTGAATAGATATATTTGCATTTTTACAAACGAATCATTGTATAATCATAACATGGTCACATGAAACATTTTTAATAAAGTAGGCAGATTGTCAGAAGCAATGTCGATGTTTGACAAGGCTACTTAACCTCTTCTGATATTACGCGTAGAACTTATACATCATATTCCTGGTAACCTCTATAGACTGATGTTTGTTCGATAAACTCATAATGCTTGCACATAACCATATACAAGCATCGACATTTATATCAGGTAAATTTTAGGATTTTATTCTTGAATACATTCGTCATCAGTCTTAGTGTATCGTTTATTTC